CAACTTGTAATTCTTTGCCATCCCCCCAAAAAAGATTTCCTAGAAATCAGGATAATACATATCCCAGGGCACGGGTTCATTATCTCCCCATCTGCAAACCTAGCTCTTGTTACATCTCCTTTCCCATCACGATGAGAAAGAATCACCTCCTCCTCCACAAATCAAACACTCCCTTTCTCCCCTTAGCCTGAGTGTTCTAAAAAAGACCTGATTAATCCAACAAGGAGAAAGTTTCCCTTTAGGAGGAGCCAAAAATGTGGTTCAAAGAAATCCAAGGACACTGGCACTCAGAATTCACTAAAGTTGTGCAAGACTTGATCCTGAGGCCAAGGCTTAGAGACACCCCTTGGCCCCGCCAGAGAGGTGGAAAAAGATGGGGGCTGCCCAGCTTGATTTAAGACCTACAGGCAGAAGACTCCTCTGTGTCCGGCCTGGCAAGAGGCTGAGTTAGGGAAATGAACCCACAGAGTCGCTAGGGTGGAGGATGATATTTTCACAACCAAATTAAGTGCTGATGTGCACAAAAAATAATAAAGAAAATGGCAGCATTCCATGTTCTGTAAAAACCACTTTGGATACACTGTATCCAAAAGAGGAAGAAGGGAGGCTGGGACATAACCATCTGAGGCCCCCAGAGTTTAAGGACACTTCTTGCTCACCTTAATGGAAAGGGGAGAAAGAAGGAGACCTCATTCTAGGAAAAAGATTCAGTTCAGCCCGTACATGCTGATTTAGGAAGCACAGAGGGTTATTTTCTCCTAAATGTAGCCCACCAAGCAGGTCTGTGTAATACAGTGATCAAGAAGTTTCCGCGACCTATCAGTCAGGCTGAGAGACAGAATAAGGAGACTGTGCAGCAAGAGGAAACAGGCTAGACTTAGGGCAGAACTTTCCAACCACAATGGCATGAGCATGTAAAGCTCACTCCAATCGGAGAATTTGAAAGTGAAGGGAATGTCGCTATCACACACTGGCAGAGCAGTGATAACAGCTATTGCTTACTGAACACTTAGGAGGTAACCAGGCACCATGTCAAGGGCTCTATGTACATGATCACACTAAATTTACACCAAATGCCAGAAGGTTGTTTCTGCTGTTATACCATTTCATCAGGGAGGAAACTGAGGCTCAGAGGCATCTAAAGGACAAGCTGAAGTCACGTAGCTGGTAAGAGCTGCAGCTAGGATTCAAACCCAGATCCTGCCAACTCTGAGACTGCAAGCTCACCCACAGGGCTTCACTCCACAACCCTCGTGTCTGTTCTGAGTTACGCCACATATGTGATCGGCTTCGGCCAGCCCCGTAAGAGCCAGAAGGACTATAGTGATCTCTGTCTCTATTTGTGCCACAAGGACCCTGAAGCTTAGCAGGCCCAAGACGACATTACAGTAAAGTACTGGGACTAGCCCCAAAGTCAGCTGAACCAAAGCCTGGTGCTCTCGAGACCTGGTCGGAAAGCACTGCGACACCCTCTCAATTCAGCCCCATCAGGGTTAAAACGGTCCTCCCAGTTGGTTCCTGGCCCAGCTCCCATCTTAAGGCCCTGATGAGCCACCTTCCCAGGATGGCTGGTGGCAACTTCAAAGAGGCAACTGTGGCTCTCCAAGGTGCCACCCCGAGCTGGAGGACCCCGTGTCTGTCCTTACTGTCATCCTCTGAGTCCTGCTCCTGCTCAGCACTGGCATAGGTGCGCAGGAACTCGGCAAAGGCCCCGTCCCGGGCCAGCAGCTCCTGGTAGGAGCCCATCTCGGAGATCTTGCCACCACTCATGACGACAATGACATCCACCTGTGGCAGGTAGCTGATGCTGTGCGTGACCAGGATCCGCGTCTGCAGGCAAAGCAGAAACCCAGCCGTGTTAGCACGCATGTACAAGACAGCCCGGCCTGGCACAGCGATGACCAAGGGAAGGAAGGAATTCACCAAATGGATGGCAGAACTCAGGTCTGGAGGCAGGGCACACATGGGAGATGAACACACACCACAGCATCTGAATCTGCGCGTGCATTCCTTCTACACGTACGTGCCAAGGGCCTGCTGTGCGTCAGCTGTGCTAGGAGGTGGGGAGGCAGTGAGGACCAAACCAAGAGCCCGGCCCCAGATTCCAGGGTTGGGGAAGAAATGAACAGAAGGGGTAAAACGGTGTGTGTGCTGCAGTGAACACAGAGTTAAAAGGAGAACGTGTACACTGGGGGGGGGGGGGGGGG